AAGAAAGAAAGAAAGAAAGAAAGAAAGAAAGAAAGAAAGAAAGAAAGAAAGAAAGAAAGAAAGAAAGAAAGAAAGGAATCGTGTCAGCCTCCAGTAGAAAGTCCTGATTTCTTCATCACAAACTCTACAACCCTTAAAAGCTGCAAAGGTGTATTACAATGTGTATCTCCTAGCCTCAAAGTGTTTGCCCATCCCTGAACTGTGTGTTAGCTTTCCCCCCAACAATCTGTAGTTAAAAATCTTTGCTTACCAGTATGTGTGAATTTAGACTGTATATGAAATTTATTATTTTATTTCATTTCTTATTAATCTCCTTTACTCCTTCCTTTCCCTGTCGTCAATATTTCTGTAAATTTACCATTCATTGCCATACTTTGTACTTGAACATTGTGATATTTAAGAGAGTTGTTTTTCAGTGTGGGCAGGGTATAAGTCAGTGGGAGATGCGTCATGGAAAGAAGTAAGACTTTATGTAGTGATTTCCTTTCCGGACACATCTGAGGGAACCTGCAGTGCATTTCTAATAGCCTTTTCTGTCTCTGAAACATATGCAGGAGTCATACTTCCTGTCCACTGGCAATTGCGACTATGTATTTTACAAATTTTATTTTTTTAAGTATCTTGAGATAACCTGGAAAACAATAGGGAATGTTCTGCCAATAAAATACCTAATTATTTGATGTATTTTGACCCACCTCACTCAGACTAAAGGGAAGCCCTTCTGCAAAAAAGATTGGATACTTGTAATCATTCAAATCAGAATAAATAGAAGTTATGAGTTAAAAAGTGAGGAGCACTGTGATTTACCATGTCCAAAAACACTGCCGTTAAACTGTCAACTTTGTCAAATAACTCTGGGTCTAGGATTTTGGCAGCATCTCCTATGCAGGAATTTTTTTTTAAAAGGATTTTTTTTCTTATCATTTCCTCTTTGATAGAAAATGTTTCATCTATGACAGTTTTGAATTAGCTTCTGTTAAATACAAAGGGTAAGAGAAGGTATTGTTAGTAGTAATTCTGCCATATAGATTACTCAGCAATAATTGTGTTTCAGTTGCCATTTTTAGTAAATGATTTAAAATTAATGTACAGAATATTTGTTTTCCATAAAATATGGTGCATATCTCAGGATATTTAACTTTTACCCAGCAGAGCGCTATTGATAAAGGTAGACCCTATAGAATTATTTTGAGAAAAAAAAACCCAAAGAAAGACTACGTAGGTCCCTATATGTTTTAACTTTGAGGTACGCTTATGTACATTAAATTACAGTGGATATTTTTTTAGAACAGTAACAGTGTTTTTAGAAATATATGTTTCAAAAGGAAGGACAAGAAGCAATGGATGGAAACTAATCAAGGAGAGAAAACCAACTTAGAACTAAGGAGACATTTCCTGACAGTTAGAACAATTTATCAGTGGAACGAATTGCCTCCAAAAGTTGTTGGGTGCTCCAAATTTGGAAGTTTTAAAGAAGATATTAGATATTAGACAATTTGTCTGAAATGGTATAGGGCTTCCTGCCTGAGCAGATAGTTGGATTAGATCCTGCAATATGCAACTCTTACACTGCAAAAACATATGGACTACACAACTCGATCAGGGCAAAGCAATAGATGCAATCTACATAGACTTCTGTACATAGTTTCAGTGGTACATGACAAACTACTCCTAAAACTAAAATCTTATGGTGTCTCTGGACATCTGCATAACTGGATAGAAGCATTCCTATCAAACAGACAACAAATGGTCAAAACTGGGAGCGTCCTATCAAATTCTGTACCTGTCAACAGTGGTGTCCCCCAAGGCAGTGTTCTAGGACCAACTCTCTTCATACTCTACATAAATGACCTCTGTGATCATATTAAGAGCAACTGCGTTCTCTTCGCTGACGATGTAAAGCTATTCAACACCACAGACAATACTGCTACCCTTCAAAAAGATCTTGACTATATATCAGAATGGTCAAACAAATGGCAACTTCAAATCTCAACAAACAAATGCTCTGTCCTACATATTGGCAAAAAAGTTC